CCCCAGTCCCCCCCCTGCCCCCCCCCCCCACTCCAGTCTCTTACGTGGTGATCTGCGACTCCAGGAAGATGAGGATGAAGACCAAGAGGGCAGGAAGGGCAGCGCCAAACATCATCCAGATCGGGAAGTCCCCTTTCTCTCCCAGCGGATGGATGAACCATCCCCGGGCAGTGGTATTGGAGACCTGCAGCCCTTCAGGGACGCTGAGTTTCTGGGAGGAGAGGGAGAGAGATGAAAGATGCAAATCGGAAGGCAGAGGGGACAGAACATCTGGGAATCTGGAGCGGGGGGCGGGGGTACTGAGGGGGGATCAGCGGGGAGTACTCTGAAATGGAGACGGGCCCTTCTCTGATGCTGTTCCTCGGAGGATCTCAACACACTCTGGCCTTTGCACGTAGGTACCGAGGGGTGAATTGACTCACCTCTGCTCACAAGTCCAATTGGTTGCAGACATAGGACTAGAGCGCAGGAGTCCAGCTGTAACCATTAGGCAATACTCCATGCCCAGAGCAAGCGACAGACCCCCAAGGGGCAAGTCTACACTCAAAATTTAGGTCAGCATAGATCTGTCAGTCAGGGGCTCGACACCCCTCCCCCCGAGCACTGTAGCTGCATCAACTTAGCCCATGGTGTAGACACAGCAAGGCGGACAGAGAAATGTTTCTGTTAACCAGGACGGTTGCGCTCCTACAGCACCAGAGAAAACCCTTCTGTTGCAGTGGAGGCTGCGTCTACACACCTGTGCTATCCCAACACCATCCCCCTCCATCAGGCTCCTGTCTCAGGCCCAGGATTAGAACCCAGGAGGCCTGAGGGCTAGGCTGCAGCGCTAACTCCTAGACCTCTCTGCCATCCGTGATGTCTGCAGAGAGGCTGGAAGGAGTGATACAGGTGGGTGCTCGTGCACGTTCTCAGCCCAATCCCGGCCACACATGCCGCATCTCGCCCCTGCAAAAAGCAGCGGACGCTCGTAACCCTGCCCCCTCCCCCGTCTCCGCTTACTCACCTGGGTGAACGTGGTGTCCTTGATCAAGAAGTCGACCAGCGCCATGATGAAGATGGAAATAGGGACCCCAAAGTCACCGATCACACGCCGGAGCTAGGGACAAACAGCCCTGCTGATCAACCAAGTCCCTGCTGGGGGCAGAGGGCCTTTCCCCTGTAGGGGGGGGACAGGCCCACAGTGTGGGGCAAATGATTTGTCCTAGGAGAGGGCTCACAGGGCTTCTCACCACCCTGGGTCAAATCAGCCTCGCCTAGGAGGATTGGGGGCACTAGGGAATAGAACCAGGAGCCTTCTGACTCAAGATCGGCCATTCAGACCTAATTGCTCTGCTCCTGTCTGGGGGGGGATCCTGGCAGCTGCCCCCAAGCCCTGGCCATGGCTGGCTGGGACCGCTGCCTGCGAGTCCCCACTGACGAAAGCCAGGCTGGGGCCTGAGGGGAAGCCCCGGCACCCGAGGGGCCTCAGGGAGGAAGTCGGAGGAGGAGGCGGCTGGTCTGCGCAGCATCCAGGGGCGGGAGGACCATGGATGTCTGGGATGGAGGGTGCCTGCCAACCACAGATGTCTGCCCAGTGGAGGGGGGGCACTGGCTGTTCTGGGAAGGGGGCACAGGCTGCTCCTCTGGCGGAGCAGCCATTCGCCCCCCAAACTCCCTGCGGAGCGGAGGCATCCACCAGCCATCTGACCCAGGTCCCCAGGGACCTTCCCAGCATCTCTGCCTCCCCCTGGGCACTGGGCTTGGCAGGGTCCCAGAACGCGCCCGGCTGGCAGGCTGAGCAGAGAGGCTGAGGACCAGCCGGGGCTGGGGCTGCGGCTGGAGGGGGGAGGATTCAGGCAGGGATTGCTATGGAAACGCACAGCTGGGGATGCCCAGGTGGCCAGCGGAGGAGGAATGTCTCGGCCGCAGCATGGCCACAGGAGGGAGAGACCTGACCGCGCTGCCGGCCATCCCCTGTTCACAACTCCCAGCCACTTTGAACCCAAACCACCATGTTTAGCCCCAAATCCTGCCACCTCCCATGCAGCTGGGCTGGGCACTGCAGGGACCCTGGGGCGGGGGGAAGTGGCGCAGGGGGGTCCTCCCCTGCTGGGGACAGTCTCTCTGCAAACCCTACCATAGAAGCACCGCAGGTATAAACTGCTGCTTGTGGTATTAAGTCCCCACTTATCAGACATTTAGCCTGTTTCAGTGGCTTTTAGTGCTGGGGGTCCCAGGTTTCAAACCCACAGCCGGCCCATAGGGCTGGGAGGGCCCAGCTACCTGGCTCCCCCAGGGGCTGTCTGAAGGAGGCCGGGCCAGACACCCACCTTGCCAGGCAGGAAGGCGCTGTTCTTGAACTTGCGCAGGAAGAAGGCGATGAAGAAGGTGCCGGCCATGAGGACCAGGGAGAGCAGGGCTGTGTTGGGTTGAGGATCCTTGGCTGACAGGTAGTCTTTCTGCAGGGGGTGATTCTGGAAAATCTGGGGAGGAGCCAGCCGGTTAGGGGCGCAGGACTGAGGGCAGGTGGCAACCACAGGAAAATCCAGCATCTAGTTGTGTAGAGCTCTCCCCCCGCGCCCAGCTCCCTCCTCTGCCCATCCACTGGGGCAGCGGCTCCCTCCCCTCCCTGGGCTCTGTGCCACCAGCCCCTTCCTCCACGGCCAGGAGGTGCTAATCCCAGAGGGGATCCCTTGTGAGACATACACCCAGCTCCTATTTCCTGCCTAGAGCAGAACCCATCAGCACCCCGCCTTGGGGTTGGCTCCCAGGTCCGCAGCTCCGTAGGGACGGAGATTCGGTGAGGAGAGATGCCTCAGGCAGGATGCGTGGGAAGGGCTTGCCTGGGGAAAGCAGGGGAAATGAAATCCCAGAGAAAGAGATTGGACTCTCCCCTTAACTGGTTCTGGCAGCCCCAAGGAGACAGGAGGCCGGGAATGGGAGCCAGGAGGGGACTGGGACCAGGGAGAGGGTTTACACTGGGGTCCCATTCCCACACCTCCCCGGCACGTGTCAGTCCTGGCAACCTCCCTGCCCTTCCCTGGTGTTTCATTCCAGCTCATGCCGCCCCCGGGGTGAAAGGAGACCAGCAGAGCAGAGGGTGGATCCGGGCCCAGCTGCGCTGTGCTGGGGTCAGTGCGGTGGCTGGCACCCCTAGAGGGCTGGCCACCTGCCAGGTGTCCGTGCACTGGGAACCCGTCCATGTCTACGCCTGAATGTAACCCGGGCTGCCGCAGACGTAGGAGGAAAAACATCAGCTGGGCCGGGTGGGGTTTTCAAACAACCCCCCCTCCTCCAAAGGCGACTGAAAGTCAGTTGGAGCTGGGCACCTAACTCCCCTGGGCTGACTGGGGAAATCCCGCCCAGCACAGCTGAGAGATCGCTGGGAGAGGGGTCTCAGTCGCTGGGCCCAGGTGCCCGCAGGGCCAGAGTGCAAGGAGGAGAGGAGTAGCCTTGCCAGGTGTCCGATAATTCACCCGGACAGTCCGGTAAAAAAAACAGAAAATACCGGACATGTAAAATGACTGGTATTTCCTGTTCCCCTCGCACAGAAGCCTGGTGGGGACAATTTTCCCATCTCCCCCCCTTTTTTTTCTCAACAGAATTTTTTCCCTAGTGGGGTTGTTTTTTTGGGGAGCAGGCGTGTTCAGTATTTTTGATTAAATCATCTGGCAACCCTAGGAGGAGCTGTTGGGAAGTGGGGTAACTAGGAAGGATGGTGAAACCAAGCGTGCTCCCTAACTCTGTGGGATCACTCCCCTCTGGGGCGGGGGGAGCCCCACTGCGTGGGCAGATTAGAGCCAGCCCTAGAGGTAGCAGGGCCAGCGATAATCCCACCCCCTAGCTGCGTCCCTCTGTATCTGCCCCCTCTCCAGCCGGGAGGTCAGCGTGACGCCCGGCTGCCTTGTGCTGCTTCTGGTGTTTTCGACTCACTCGGCTCGGGGGGAGGGGAGGAAGGGACCGGTGCCCTCGCCCAGCCTGGCAGGGTGTGGGCCACGGGAACGGCAGCAGCTGCAGCTTGGAAGGCTGGGAAAGGAGCGTTATTTTTAGCCTCAATATCCTCCTTGTTTGTTTGGAAACAAAGCTCCGGGGAGGGGGCAGCTGACTGCTGGGAGTGCGTCCGTGCAGGCGTCGCTGCGTCTGTGGGGTGTGTGACGGCGGCCTGGGCACTGGGGGGGAGGAGGGGGCGTGTGTGAGTTCTCTGGCGGACGGGCGCGCGTGCGAATCCTCCGCACCGGGAATCAACCAGAGGGCACTCAGCTGGCTGCCCTGGTGCCTTGCTGGCTCTGCCCACACTGCCCACAAAGCCAGCCCTCAGGCCCGTAGGCAGTGCAGAGTCTCCGCCGGGATGGGGCGGGTCTGAGGCATTGAGGCACTTGGCTGCTCTGGAGACGGGGGGCGGGAGGGTGTCTCTCCCACCCGGATCATACACTGGAGCTGGGATTTCCACACTGCAGCCCGGTACTAGCCTCCCTGAGAGAAACCAAGGCACTGAATGGCCGAGGAGGGGGGAGAAAGCATCCGATCAAATGGCTCCATCTCTCTCCCAGTTCTCCCTCTCGGTGTATTTTTCTCTCGCGGCTGCACACTCTCTGTCTCCCTTTCTCAGTTTCTATGGAAACCGTGTCTAGGTGACCTCACTTCCTGTCACCAAATTATTATTTTTTTTTGACCGGGTCAGTAAAATATGGCGAAGATGCCAACAAAGCTTCAGGTGCAGGGTTTCCCACAGGAGCTGTCTGGAGCAATCGCTTAGCACCTGCAGCCGACATGGACCGTCCCGGTTAATGACATGACCACGAGGCCTGGTCGGTCGCCGCCAGCTGATGTGGTTAAACGCGACTAGCACTGTCAACACAAGGCGGTGAAATGCTCTTGTGATAACGAGCAAGAAGCCCTTGACTGTCCTAATTTAGACTTGCCCAGCTACATGCAAACGTGCAGATGTGCTGCACAGAGACCGGCAGCAGGTCGCCCTGCTACACTTCCCTATGCCCACCCATTCTATAGGAATGCATTCCGTACACATGCATGCACTCTGCAAACACGCTACACGCAGGCATGCACAGACGTGTGGACTAACAAACACGTGTGGAACCACAAACACGCTACACGCAGGCATGCACAGACGTGTGGACTCACAGCCATGTGTAGCCACACAGTCACATTCAGGTCCGTTACACATCCCTCCATCCGCCTGCTCACAGACAGACCCACCAACAACCACAAGTAGTCATGTCCGTGGACACAACTGCATCCCCATGCGTCTACCGCTCCCCCTGCAAATCCCACCACCGCATCCACCCAAAACACAGACGTGCACAATCTCCACCTCACCTACGCACATGTGCAGAACATTACAATAGCGCCACGACACACCTGTAGTGCAGTGATAGGTGGCTTAGGTGTACAAATACACACACACGTGCACAAGACACAGGCCGACATCTCCAGCCCCCACCTGACATCACACCGTGTGGCACGCCATTGCCAACACAATCCCTTCCCCGTCCCATCTCACACGCGTGCACACACAGTGCCCCCCTCCCATGCACACCCACACGCTGGTGCATGCCTCTTGGTGCGACGCACAATCGCCCTTGTGACACGCTGAGAGATACAAATAACGTGAAGGAAAACGGTGCCTGGCTTTGGGAGCAACGAGAAGGGGGCAGAGGTGGCGCCTGCCACCCGGCTGGGGATGGACTCCGTGGACAAACAGAGCAGATACCAGCGGAGTCTATCTCCACGGCAACCCAGCCCCCCTGAACGGAGCCGCGGCCCAACCCCCTGCCCCTCGTTACCGTGACGAGCTTGGCGAAGGTCTCGTAGATGAAGATGAGGGAGATGAGGAAGGAGAAGATCTCCTGGGTGTAGCGCGAGATGTAGCGCACCAGGAAGCTGCCCTCGAAGGCCACCACCAGCAGCACCAAGATGATGAGCCAGAAGCCGATCCAGACCCGGCCCACGATGTACTCCATGCCGTAGCCCTCACAGAACTGAGGGAGGGAGGAGAGGGGAAGCCAAGCAGGTCTTTAGCCTCCTTTGCCTCCCCTTCACGTAGCCCCTCCGCCGGCCTCATCTCCACTTCCACCTGAGACCAGGTAGA